AGCTTTTATCTTTTTTTTATGTAACTCTTGTCCCGTTTCCCCCCCCCCCCTTCGTTTGCAGGTTGGGCGTTCTGTTTTGTCCTCTGCTTCCCGTTATCCAGACCTTGAAATTACTTCTGCTGTTTTACGTCAAAAAGGTGAGATCAATTTTCTACAAAACCCTCCACAGTCACAATGAATGAAAAATGTGAAACCTATAAAAATATATGTTTATGAATTCCCAAAATTTAAAGGAGAACTATGAGGGGGGGGCTTTCCTCTCGCCTCATAGTTCTAGCCGACCTGTGACAATGAGACTGTCACAGGTCGGCTCAGTAGCTCGGGAGTTGAGCGAACACATACCGGCGTTCGCTCACCTCTCGATCCTGTCACAGCTCTCTGCCGTGACAGGGGGAGGGGCTGGATTCCCCCCTCCGATCCTCCAGCGCTGACTGGCGGAACGGACGGGGGAGGGGGCGGGTACAGCCTCTAGATAGGCAGAGCCAGCTGTCACTCACGCAGCTGGGCGGATCCCGTCATCTAAGTCGGGATCCGCTCCGGCTGTGGCGTCTCAGTATACCGCGAGCTGTAGCTCCCTATATACTGAGCCTGGGGTGACGGGAGGACGCTAGTTTGTGTCCTCCCGTTACACTAAGGAGAACTATGGGGGAAAAGCCTTAACCCCGTAGTTCTCCTTTTAACCTTTTGAAAGAAGAAACCAGGTATGCAAAAAGTTAACCCTTGCAGCGCAGGGGTAGTTAACGGCTCGTTTTTCTCTGGGGAAAGTTGCATGGATCGCAGAGCTGTGTGGGTTTTAGGTGTGGCTGTGAATGTGTTTCGTACTGTGGTGTCTCTGGGACCGACGCGGCCTCATCTCCGTTCACTTTAATGAAAATTGGATCCGTTGTAGACCAGCCTGATGGAGAACTGCCGATCGCCCAGCAAGCCATGGAGGGCGTCTCATATGAGTACGGTGTTCCTGACTCTGCTCTGCTTCCCGTCTTTTCTCGGAGCGTCCGTGTTCCTCTCCTACACTGTGTGGTCGTAAGTAGAAAAAAAAATAATTTGTATTTATATCGTTCAAAATGTTTACATCGGTCCCAAAGAGCTGAGCTCTGTGCGTATAGGATAGGCTTGTGTGCAGGGCCCAAATCTGTGCTTAGGGCTGAGCCTTGTAGTTAGGGCCAAGTTCTGTATGTAGGGCCCACCTCTGTTCTTAGGGCACCCACCTCTGTTCTTAGGACCCAGGGTATATTCTTGGGACCGAGCTCTGTGCATGGGGCCGAGGTCTGTGCATGGGGTCGAGCTCTGTGCATGGGGTCGAGCTCTGTGCATGCTGCCGAGCTCTGTGCATTGGGCCCAGCTGTGTGCATGGGGCGGAGCTCTGTGCATGGGGCTGAACTCTGTTCTTGGGGCTGAGCTCTGTTCTTGGGGCCGAGCTCTGTTCTTGGGGCCGAGCTCTTTTGATAAAGAACTCAACTTTATGCATAAAACTCTGTCTCGATCTAAATAATCAGGCTGCAGTACTAAGGTACACCAGTAGATGGCAATGCAGGTAATACTTTACATTTTTCATTTGCTTATAGAGAAACAGTTTAGGTTTTGGGGCCAATTTAACTATGATTAATTCCTATACCTAAATCATAATTTTTTATATATATATATACACACACATATCTACATTCTTTAGAAAGT